GATGAGTGGATAATGAAAATGTGGTTCATATATATGATGGAGTTTTACTCAGCAGTAAAGAAAGATGAATCATGAAATTTGCAGGTAAATGGATGGAACTAGAAACTGTTATACTTAGTGAAGTAACACAATCTCAGAAAAAAAAATCGACATATGTTCTCCCTCATATGTGGATCCTAGGATCAGACTCTGATAAATAAGTATGCAAACAGACATAACTGCAGGAACCAGGACAAGGGTAAGGAAACACTTAATACTTTTACAATCAGAAAATAATACTGTACTTTCCCAAGAGGACTTTTCTTCTTTAGTAATGTCTAAGGCTTAATTTACACTTTTTGTAGAACAAGTAGAGTAGTTTTAATATGTTTCTCTGTTAAGGCATTAATTTTAGCTATTAAATCTGAACAAAATGAAAATTTCAAAATGAGAAATTTTTCATTTTTAGGATTGTTCTCTAAATTGATAATAATACAAGTTCCAAATCATCAAAAGTATTAATGATTATAATATAATCTTGTGCCATGTAAAAACACTTCAACCAAGGCCAGGCATGGTGGCACATGCCTTTAATCCCAGCACTCGGGATGCACAGTCAGGTGGATCTCTGAGTTCAAGGCCAGCCCTGTCTGCATAGTGAATTCCAGGCCAGCTGGGGCTACAGGGAGACCCCGTCTCAAAAAAACCAAAAAGAAAATACTTGAGCCAATGATGGACTACATCTAGAGTGGCATTCCCTAAAAGTGTATCTATCACCTAGTGATGACGAAGTCATAGTCATTTATGTAGGTATGGTCTGTTATGGTCACACAGTGGTGAAATTTTCCTAATAGTACACTTACCAAAAATTATTCCTATCATTAAACATGCATGACTACTGTCTTTATGTAAGTTCTAGTTTTACTCTATGTGTTAGTTACTTTCCTGTTGCTGTGATAAAACACCACAATCAAGGCAACTTACGGAAGAGAAAGTTTATTTTACTTACTGGGCCCAGAGGTCCAACATGATGGGAGTCATGGGGGTAGGAGGCAACCAGAGCAAAAAGCGGAGAGCTCACATTTTCAAGTAGGCCAAGGAAGCAAAGAGAACAAAATTGGAAATGGGGAAGACTAAAACCCACCCCCTAGTGCTGTGCTTTCTACATTAAGTCCAGACCACCTAAACCTTCCAAACCAGATTTACCAATAAAGTATTTAAACACTTGGAACCTATGTTGGGACTTTGTTATTCAAACTACCGCACTGTAACTTTATAAGAACTTGTTTATAAAAGGATATGACCCATTTATACTATGTAATAAATAGCTTGCTAGTAATTTAACAAATTATCAAATATTTTCATTCAATAGGAAAAAAATTTGGCTTTGGAACTCTGGCAGACTGCTTCTCAGGAATTAGAAAAGGTGCAGAAACTTTACCAGGAACATATGACTGAGGCCCAGATTCATGTATTTGAAAATCAAAGACAAAAGGTAATGTTTGATTTCATAATTTTTTATTGTATCCTGATAAAAATGTTTTGGAGAGAAATTTCTGCCTCCGGTGTTTTTAATGTTAATCATAAATAGATCTCAGAATCTCTTAAACAGATAAGTAATTTAAAAACCTCCTCAGTGCATATTGTGTATTAGAAGTGAAAGCTGTATTTAGTTTTGTGAAGGGATTTGTTTTTTTTAATTATTTATTTAATAACCACATAATTAGAAGAAGCATTTCATTACAACAGCATTGACATATTCAATAACAATTTCCAGAGCTAAGATGCTTCTCTTTCAAAATTGGCTGTAAATTTTTAGGTTTACAGTTGAATTAATACAGTTATACAATGTTGGACTCAGTATAAACCCTGTAAGACATAAAATTAAATGAGGTTTTAACCTTTAAAAAAGATCTCCATTTCATTATTAAAATATACAGTCTCATACAGAAAAATTCATTTTTAAGATGTTTGCACATGTGTTTCTAGTCTCTATATCTGGTTATTACTAGTCATAGTTGGTTACTTTCTGAGCTCCTTGGCATCTGAGCATGGATATAAAGTCATCAGGTAGATTTGAATGGTAATGTTTTCCACATCTACTAGTTATGAAGGAGCAAATTTTTATGTTTTGAAGAATTTTATTTTATTATTTATACACCCACTTCCCAGGTAGCACCCTCCCATAGCTTAGAAGAAGCATTTATAAGTTGGCGTCTAGAATTTTATTTGCTTAATTTCCTACCTTTTTTGAAACAGAACTGTTCATTGAGTTATGGGGAATGATGAAACTTGCTCAAATACAGTGACAACACTGTTAAATAATAGTGTTCACACAACTAAATGTGACCTATTACTAAAATAGATGTCCAGTTTGTCCACTGTAAGTAGATTTTTATCATAACAAGAGGTCTTATTAGTCATCAAAGACTTTCTATCCAAAGCAAGAGTCTTTTCACATTATTTCAAGGGGAGGATCTAGCTTTTGCTTTAAAACTTTATTAACAAGAGCTGCTTCATAAAGACCATGTATCCCACTGAGAAATCTGCCTTTATTACTTTTCTGTTGGTTCTTTTACTGGTAAGTATATTTGAATACTATGGACAAATTACAATTCTGACTAGTTTTCTGTGTATCTTGACATTTATCGGACATATAAACAACCCATTCCAAATTTTTTTAGTACAAATAATGTTTAATATTGCCATAAGACCTAATGAAATGATTCTAAACTTGGAATGCATGAGAACTTTTTAAAACAGTTGTGCACTAGCCATAGTAACTCCTTTGCATAGTTGATTTTGTTGGTTTTAGATAGTTTTGAATTTGGTTTTCCAGTTTCAGGCATGGACTTTTTAAACATTTTAAATTCCTAATCACTTAATAAAACTTAAAAATATATATTTCATTATTTTTATGTGTATGAGTATTATGCACGTATATAAGTGCACTGATGTGTGCAATGCCCACCAAGGCCAGAACAGGGCATTAGATCTCTCAGAACTGGAGTTACAGACAGGTATTAGCTGCTGTATGGGTGCTGGGAACCTAAACCAGGTCCTCTGCAAGAGCAGCCAGTGCCCTTAACCCCTGAGCCATCTCCCCAACTCCAATTAACAAATTTTTGATAATGCATGTCTTTGAAATAGTATTTACTCATGGATCTGTTTGTGCAAATAGTGGTTTTACATGAAGCACACATCATTGGGATCAGTATTGTCTCCTTGTTTAATTTTTAATCATCAAAACCTTATTTTTTTAAGTATTTCACATAGTAGAAGAAATAATACTGCTGTCATCTAAATTTAGGCATATGATTTAGACTTGATTTTAGATTTATTGGAAATACAAACAAAGCATTCATTTATTCACCTTTCACATTAGGATCAGCTGAACAATTTTTAACAACTGAACAAGAAACTTCATGTTACTAATGAGAACATAGAAATGGTAAGTGAGGAGACGCCTCAGCGGTTAAGAGCACTGACTGCTCTTGCAGAGGACCTGGGTTTGATTCCCAGCACCCACATGGTGGCTATGAACCATCCTTAACTCCAGTTCCAGGGGAATCCAAAACCCTCTTCTGACCTCCGTGGCATTGCACCACATGGGTGCACTCACATACATGCAGGCAATACATTCATACACACAAAATAAAAATAATATATTTTTTAAAAAAAAGAAATGGTAAGTGAAAATATCTTTATTATAATTAATTTCTGTAAACCAGAAGTTTTCACTATCTTTATTTATGCTAATCCACATCAAGAAAATAATGAAACATGTTATATGAATTAACATAGGTATACAGTATATATACAATACTCTTCTCTCTGTTTCTTACAATCTAGTAAGAGAACATAGTTCACTACCTTTTGGAAATCTAATCAACAAATATTTGAATTATATTCTGATCTGAAAATCCTCTTGGGACTTTTTGGCAAGGTCTCCTAAGAGTAATCTAGACCTTCCGTTCCTGAAGAGCATAACTCTTTGTTAAATGAATGAATGTTTGTTTTGAAAAGTTAAACTAATGTCCTTCTGTAAATTAACCATCAGCATTAAATTTGATGTCTGTAAATTTCCTCATATTTTACTAAGGCAAGCTATTTTCCTTTTATTTTACTTCCTTAGAATTTTATATTTACTCATTGTTGAGTAATAATAGAATTATGATGCTTTGGGTAATCCCTCCTTTTCCTCTTCATTTTTCTCTAGTTATTCTACTAATTCTTGCTATTACTCTAGAAATGTCTTTGTTTAAGAGCAGAGTTGTGTCATCAAAAGTAAGTCATAGAATTTTATTATACTATGCTTTTTTATCCTTTAAACAAATGTCTTCTATGGTAACATTTGGAATTTCTTTATTTGCTCTTATTTGTATTTGATCTTGTATTTTAGATAGAGTATTAAATTGTAGCCTAGGCTAGCCTGGATTTAGTCCATGCTGATTTCAAACTCTTGGCCATCCTCCTGTCTTTCGCTTTCCTAGTGCTAGGATTGTAGGCATGAGTTACCACACCTGGCTGACCTTTGGAATGTCTTATCACAGTTTTTTTCAATATGCTTCTTGGGAATTTAAAAATTCTTATAAAATGCTTCAGGACAAAAAGGATTACTGAGTTCCATAAGAAAAACTTTCTTTTTTTTTCTGGTCTTTTTGAAACAGGGTCTCCCTGTAGCCCCAGCTGTCCTGGAACTCACTATGTGCACCAGGCTGGCCTTGAACTCACAGAGATCCGCCCGCCTTTGCCTCCCAAGTGCTGGAAATAAAGGCATGCGCCACCACACCCAGGCGAGAATTTCTTAAAATAAAACTAAATTAGAGTAAGATTCCTGTCTGTGAAATAACCATTGCATTAATCTGTAAAACTTAATACTTCCTGCCCAACTATCAAGTCATTCAGTGTTCTGTGTGCATGCGCGTGCACATGTGTGTGTGCGTGCGTGAGTGTGCATATGTATCACCCTGTCTTGGTGACACCCGGTAATCTTTTCACACCACCCACAATGGACTCTGACAGCCTGCCTCTGCCTCCCGAGTGCTGGGATTAAAGGTGTGTGATACCACCACGCCTGGGAAGAAAGGCATTTTAATTGTGTATTTCTACATGGAACAAATACTTTAGCATAATGTCATAGTTATTCATCATTTCTCTCATATTATCTCCCAGAACTATAGGAATTATATAATCTTTTGGTATCTTTTACCATAGATACTTTATTTTATGAACAACCCCAAATGTTTTTAATGAAGGTCATGGGAAAAAGACATTTGAGTATTCACAAGGACTATATTACAATCCAAGGCAGGCTGCACATGGTGGCACATACCTTTAATCTTAACACTGGAGAGGCAGAGGCAGGCAGATCTCTGAGTTCAAGGCCAGCTTGATCTACATAGTGAGTTCCAGGGCAGCCGGGACTAAACAGTGATACCTGTCCTAGCAGAAAAATTCATAGTGTCAGACTAAACTCAGCAAGGGAACGAGCTAAGATTAAATGATCTTCTCCATTGCAAAGAACATTCAAAGTTGGTAAAGACTTTTGTGTGTCTTATATATAGATTCTATCATCTGCAAAAAAGGATATTGTGAACTCTTCCTTTCTTACTTGTACCTCTTTTATTTGCTTTTCTTATCTTTTTGTTCTAGCTAAGGCTTCTGATTCTATACTGAATAAGAGTAAAGAAAGTAGACCCCCTTGCCTTGTTCCTAATGCTTTGAGTTTTTCCTCATTTACTGTACTGTTGATTATGTCTTCATTATATATAGCCTTTATTAGTGAAATATGTCACTTCTAGCCTCAGTTTCTTCGAGGCTTTTATCATGAAGGGATATTAGATTTTCTCAAAAGCTATTTCTGTATCTATTGATATAATCATGTGCTTCTGTGAACTAGAAATGGAGTATTGTAATAGTAGTAGGAAATGTCAGTACCTCACTCTGTATCAATAGTTAGATAATCTAGATGGAAAAAAATAACACAGATTTTAGCATGAAATTGTACCATTGTTCAAGTGAACTTAATGGACATCTACAAAACTAATCTTGGGGAAAATGACAATATTGCTGAAAGTGATCTATATGTTCGGTGCTTTTTTTTTTTTCCTAAAAATTCCATTAACATTCACAGAAGTAGAAAAAATTTCCTAAAGTTATCGTAATTGCACAAAAGTCCAAGTAGCCATAGCAATCCTAAACTAAAGAGGAATTCTGGGGGTATTACAATACCTTACCTAAACTATGCTACAAGTAACATAAAATCTAGACCCAAAACAGACATACAGACCAATGGAACAGAATAGAAAACTTAGAAAAGGACCGGATTACTACAGCCATTTGATTCTCAACAAAGGTGTCAAAAACATTCATTGAAGAAAAGTCGGCCTCTCTAATGGTGCTAGGTATCTATATGTGGAGACTGAAATTAGAGCTCTACATTTACAAAAATCAACTCAAATTGGATGTAAAAACCTTAAAATAAGTCCTAAA